GTTGGTTTAATTATATCTTTTATAAGCATCTCATATTTTTATATTTTTTGATATCTCGTTCTTTAGTTCTCACACTGTATAGCTTGTGTGTTTAATTTGTTTCTTCTTCATCAATCCAATGTTTTGCCAAGTTAGATTTCCATAATCACGATGAAAATTAATCTTCATAATTTTCCAAACTTGTTTTAACTCCGGTTCTTTTGATAAAATATTTATGTTTATTTGGAATTGAGATTCATCGTTCTAAAGTTGTTCACACTTTCCTCTATAACATTAATTTTTGCAGGACTACTTTCAAAAACAATATTTGGTTGTTGATCATTTTTAACGGTTAATGACACAGATTCATCTTCCAGATATGTTTCCTTATTCTTATATTTCTCGTTCTTTAGTTCTCACACTGCATGGCTTGTGTTTAATTTGTTTCTTCTTCATCAATCTAATGTTTTGCCAAGTTGGAATTTCATAATCACGCTGAAAATAAATCTTCATAATTCTACAGCTTGTTTTAACTCCAGTTCTTTTAATGAAATATTTACGTTTATTTAGAATTGAGATTCATCGTTCTCAAATTGTTCACACTTTCCTCTATAGCATTTTTTTTTGTCGGACTAATTTCAAAAAAAATGTTTGGTTGTTCAACATCTTTAATGATCGATAATACAGATTCATCTTCTAGATATGTTTCCTTATTCGCATAACATAAATCAAACATCTTGATAGCCGAGGTCTATTTGTTTGGTACATTTTGCTGTTATCCTCAATGATATATAGACCTTCCTTTAGTCTATATCCATGGCTTAATCAATTTATTAGAAAGTTCCGGTATGATAGTATCTTTAGCAGTTTTTATTTATAAATTATAAAATTATAAAATTAAATCATATTCTATTATTTTAAGCTAAATATTTGGCGTTCCTTATCTTAAGAAATTCTCGTTCAATTATTGATATCCATAAATATGTTCTCATTATGAAAATTCCAATTCTATACCATAAAATTTATATTTAAACAATATTTTCTACGATGTCTGATTTTTTCAAAGGGTTCAGAACACGTTTTATCAGAACAGGTTTTGTCGAAGCCTCTAACAGGGCAGTCTTAAGGTCGACCTCTGAAAGTTTTCACCCCTATATCAATGAGAAATTTGCAAGGAACTATTTAATCCACCAGAATAATTAATTTGTACTCAGAGTTCTAAATTTTATTTATAGTCAACAGTATCTGATTGATAAAAATCAGCCTTGGCGTAATTTTAAATCTTCTCACACAGAATCCGTGTAGGAATGTATGTATGGGTGCCATTGTACACGTCAGCGTTGAGCCGAGGTTTGTCCATACCTTCATCTATTTGGTGCTATCCATGGAGCTTCTCTAGAGTAATTATGAGACAATGTTCCACTATTCTTACAAAATTGACTCTTCAATAACATCTGGGTTCTTGCTATAGAATTTCTTTGGGTAGTTCAGTTTCAGAGTGAAGCTTGTTTTTAGATAGAGATATTCGACTTGGAGAAAGGACATAGGGCTTGGAGATGTTGGGAATATTCATATTTTATTTAAATTGGTGTGGTCACGAATAGCTCGAAAAATTATGTAGAAATTTAAATTTTTCAACACGTTCCCGGTAATCTTTCTTGAAGATGTCCATCTTCTTGCAAATGACAAGTAGATCGTTGATGGTTTTAGTAGGTTTTAGGTAGATTTATAAAGAATACTCTTTTGTGAACCCCTTTAATAAATTTGATTTTTGTATTTTATTCAATTGAAGTGGCGACCTTGTTGCACAACATAAAAATATCTTCCAAAAATCTGATTGCTGGTTCATCCCAGTGCTGAATTATTCTTATCTTCATTCTCAATTAATGAAACTGGAATTGTGCGAGTTTAACCAGGTTTTGACTCTTCCCGTCATGTTCATGGAATCATAACAGGCAATTAAGTAAACAGCCCAGTGATTGAGAAAGCCGATCTCCTCAAGAGACTTCTCTCAAATTTCTCTTCACTCATGTTTTTCACCTGATTGGTGAACCTTTCAGCAAGGGACCATATTAACAAACTAAAACTCCGACTGATAAGGAACAATAGAGATAGTTTCCATCTTTCTTGGTACCAAATAGAAAACCCCAAAAAACAGACCCTCCAATTAAACAGAAGGAAGTCAAAACAGTTGGCTAAATGGTAATCTGGTCACCTGCGCTCTCTAGTCTATAAAGAGGGAGCCAAAAGCTTCCCCATGTGCACTAGGTGCCAAAACCGAAGAGGCCACTCTCCAACATATACTAAATTGTATTGGAAAGGACAAAGATTCCCTGTACAGAGAACCAAGAAGAGTTCTTGAACTTCTTTATGAGCACGACCTCCAAGATCTAGTCTAATTTAGACTAAAAGGACAAGTAAAAAAAAAACTTTTCTGAGCGCTTTCTGACCATTATATATACAAAGAAAGATAAGATAATAATAAAATAATTACCTTTTAAAAAACATTCCTGGCCACCCTATCACTATATCTGTTACACAAATAAGAAATATAAATAACAATATTATATTTATTTGAAAATAGAGCAATCCATAAATAAATCTTCAATTAAAACGGCATATATTTGAACAATACATCATTTATTTTACCAATTTTTCATTTGGCTGAACGCCAACCTTTATCAAGGTTAATAAGTTATAATACCTTCAAAAAGGTTGGCATTCAGGAAACTGAAATATTGGTAAAATAAACGATATTTTGATCCAATATATGCCTTTTCAATTGTATATTATATTTATTGGGAAATTACATTATACTAGGAATAACAAGTGATCATATTTTCAAGAAATTTGAGGTATGAGCCCTGAAAAAAGTATTTCCCAGAAGTATATACTATATTTGGCATCAAAAACAGCACTTTTATACGTCTGGGCATTGATTGAAACAGAGATTGGATGACTTGTACAGGTACAGCTTGCCATGCAGCATCACCGCGATTCCAAAGTTCATCGAAAAAAGTGACAACGTGTGGTAACGACTCAGTCATTCGACAACCATTGACCATAGGTTTTCTATTGGTGAAATAGAATGAGAATGTCCTGGTCAAAACGAGCTCCTGCTTTGTGAGGGAGATTTGGGATTATATAATGAAGTTACTTATATAATTCATTTCCTAAAAATAATCACAAATTCGTTTAAGCGGGACATATATCATTTCCATGTTTTTTATGGTCTCAGAGGCATCTTGACAATTGACACAATTAAAATAATTTTATTGACATCTTGTCGATACATGCAAAAGTACACAAGTTGCAATATTTTAAGAAATAAGATTAAATATATTTATATGCATGATACTATGTACAGTACAAGAGGCTCCTTGAGAAATCTAGAACTAAATATTTAAAACCAAACTTGTGTAAATACTCTGAACTAACGAAAAATAAATTTTAAATAGAAAAAAGGTGTTGAAGTTAAAAATAGGCCTATTCTGGCTGCTCAAATAGCTTTTATACAAATTATAACCTAATTCTAACAGAAACTTGTTTATAACATCCTAATTATAAAGTCCCAAGTTTGAAATATCATTTCCATGCTGTTTGTCTAATAAAATGAACGCTTCAATTTTTTAAACGAAGAGGATTTCTACAATTAAAGTTACTTAAATATCTTCTTGATAGGCAATGATAAGATAGTTATGATATATAATTAGTAATTACTTCACACTTAACATTTTAAATCAAACATTGAAGTTGTTAGAGTTGACATGTATAACATTTTGGTGCCTCCTCGCGTGTCAGATTCTTCAAAAATCTTTCAATTCCTGCATATAATGGAAGCACACAAAATGTTGTAAATAAAGAACATCTATAACAAAATAAAACGGTGATTGAAGAGGAGTGTCATGTGTGTGTCTTCAATCTCCGTTTTATTTTGCTATTTTAACTCGAAGAGTTTGTTTTACTCAAAGAACATCTATATTAAAGTTCTTTGCCCTCAAAGATAATAAGAAATTTTATATTAATCTTAAACAAACGAATGGTCGCTTAATGAACCAGAAACTTGTTTATAACATCCTAATTATAAAGTCCCAAGTTTGAAATATCATTTCCATGCTGTTTGTCTAATAAAATGAACGCTTCAATTTTTTAAACGAAGAGGATTTCTACAATTAAAATTACTTAAATATCTTCTTGATAGGCAATGATAAGATAGTTATGATATATAATTAGTAATTACTTCACACTTAACATTTTAAATCAAACATTGAAGTTGTTAGAGTTGACATGTATAACATTTTGGTGCCTCCTCGCGTGTCAGATTCTTCAAAAATCTTTCAATTCCTGCATATAATGGAAGCACACAAAATGTTGTAAATAAAGAACATCTATAACAAAATAAAACGGTGATTGAAGAGGAGTGTCATGTGTGTGTCTTCAATCTCCGTTTTATTTTGCTATTTTAACTCGAAGAGTTTGTTTTACTCAAAGAACATCTATATTAAAGTTCTTTGCCCTCAAAGATAATAAGAAATTTTATATCAATCTTAAACAAACGAATGGTCGCTTAATGAACCAGTCTATAACTAAGCTAGCTAACTACACACACACAAAGCTTTATTGAGACTCTCTGGTCTCATACAGATTCCTCATTATATGAGAAGGGGTATTATATAAGTAAAGAAAAAATAAATTCAAGAAAGATTCAGTTAATTAGACATGTCTTTGATTTTCAAGGCCTTCATGTAAAATTTATATACATTTAATGTAAATGACCTATTATATGACAGGTTGGGTATTAAATAATATAATGAGGTCTGAGCAATTCCCGGGAGAAGCAAGTCTCTTTCTAAGTCAAGAAACGAACATTCCAACATGTAGTGTTCTATTTCTGCCTTGGTTATCCTTTTACATAGTGTACAATATATATAAACTGGTTGTATAGCTTTATAATTATACGCCGCAGTCATTTATAAGTATTATTAGTCAGTTTAAATATTAGTTACGAACGGAGAAATACGTCCAGGATAGTCTAGTGGACATGGCACCTGCCCGGTAAGCAGAAGGTTGTGGGTTCGATTCCCGCTCCTGGACACTTTTATTTTTCCGTTCGCCATTACTCTTCATATTTTTCACCCTTCATACGTCATCCATTCATATATAGACCATCACTCTTCATATATTCAACCTTTTCATACGTCATTCAAAAGTTAGAAATATTAAATTATTTCTCTTTGAAATAAAAAATGATTTTTCATAAATAAAAAGAAACTTATGCGGTTAAACTGGTTGTATAGCTTTATAATTATACGCCGCAGTCATTTATAAGTATTATTAGTCAGTTTAAATATTAGTTACGAACGGAGAAATACGTCCAGGATAGCCTAGTGGACATGGCACCTGCCCGGTAAGCAGAAGGTTGTGGGTTCGATTCCCGCTCCTGGACACTTTTATTTTTCCGTTCGCCATTACTCTTCATATTTTTCACCCTCCATACGTCATCCATTCATATATAGACCATCACTCTTCATATATTCAACCTTTTCCAAAAGTTAGAAATATTAAATTATTTCTCTTTGAAATTAAAAATGATTTTTCATAAATAAAAAGAAACGTATGCGGTTAAACTGGTTGTATAGCTTTATAATTATACGCCGCAGTCATTTATAAGTATTATTAGTCAGTTTAAATATTAGTTACGAACGGAGAAATACGTCCAGGATAGCCTAGTGGACATGGCACCTGCCCGGTAAGCAGAAGGTTGTGGGTTCGATTCCCGCTCCTGGACACTTTTATTTTTCCGTTCGCCATTACTCTTCATATTTTTCACCCTCCATACGTCATCCATTCATATATAGACCATCACTCTTCATATATTCAACCTTTTCATACGTCATCCAAAAGTTAGAAATATTAAATTATTTCTCTTTGATATTAAAAATGATTTTTCATAAATAAAAAGAAACTTATGCGGTTGAACTGGTTGTATAGCTTTATAATTATACGCCGCAGTCATTTATAAACAATATATATCTTCTGATTTTAAGTTTTTATATAATTTTCTCTGTAGGATACGAAAAGAATCCTAACTAGCAAACTAAGCAGCAGGTACTAAGCCGTATTGAAGATTTACCTCAATAATTCTGAATAATATGGTGTTTGTGTGAGACGAAAAAATTATATTTAACTATTTTAGCATTTATTAACACATGCTCATTCGCGATAACAATGCAATCATTTGGAACTATTTTTTATTAGATCATATTTTTTGTAAGTTTCAAAGAAATCCTAGGGGTGAGCCAAATAAATCAAATAGGGTTATAAATTAAAATAAAAGAACCAGATATTGTGCCCACTATTAAAAGATATGTATGATTATCTGATTTGTATGTGTTTGTGAATAAAAAGCTCTAATACTGTATTGGATTATATACGCAGCTGCGTATATAAGCAGAATCGTCCAATATAGTATTAGAGCTTTGAGAAGCAGGTTGGTGGATTAAATTAGCGAAACCGCTGGGAGGGTTCACCACTGATGAGCAAGCCCTCCCAATATATTTTTTCATCGTAGTAAGGACAGTAGAAGTTTTTATTGTGTATAAAAGAAACGTTCGTGCTTTTTAAATCCTTAATTTTATATAAATGAAAAGTGTCCTTTATAAAAAGGTGTTCTCCAGCACGAGATATCTAGTTCTCGTGGATGTTCTACTGTAATAATATGTTTTAAAATAAATATATTTTGATAATCATATATAGAGAGCTAAGAGGTTTTAGATTAATATATTTTTCAAACTAAATATTTTGTGTGTAGGATGAACAAGTGGAAACGCCTTCTGACACAACCTGCTGCGGTCAGACAGCCACAGGGTAAGATTCCACTCATGGTGTTATTTCTACATGACACGAACATGTCTGTTCCAAGATTCCACTCATGGTGTTATTTCTACATGTCACCAACATGTCTGTTCCAAGATTCCACTCAAGGTGTTATTTCTACATGACACGAACATGTCTGTTCCAAGATTCCACTCATGGTGTTTTTTCTACATGACACCAACATGTCTGTTCCAAGATTCCACTCAAGGTGTTATTTCTACATGACACGAACATGTCTGTTCCAAGATTCCACTCATGGTGTTATTTCTACATGACACCAACATGTCTGTTCCAGATCCCGGATGATCGAAGGTACCCAAACGAAGCAGAACAATCAGATCGCGACGTACCTTCGCAAAATTTATTGTTGCTCCAATACACCATCGGCCAACTTGGAACCTGAAATAGATGAAGGTAAGACGTGATTTATAATATAATATAAAGCGGCTTATGATTGTAAAACGGCATTTAAAATTATCCCACATTTGTTTCTTTTGGACGAAAAATCGAAATTTATTTTGAGAAGAAATAACGATTATTTCTAAACATAGGGATGAAGTATGAAAATATGTATTGTGAAGAGTAATGATAAATGAAAAGATAAAGTGTCCAGGGATGGGTTATCATTACTCTTCAAAATTCATATTTTCATACATCATCCCTAAGGTTAGAAATAGTCGTTATTTTTCCTTAAAATACATTTCGATTTTTCGTTCAAAAGAAACACATGCGGGATAATTTTCAATGTCTCAAGACGTGATGTTTATTCAAGAGAAGTGAGGGTACGATGGCTTCTAGTAAATTCAAAAGAATGAGCTTGTAGTGGCGTAATCCATTTAATTCACTGTTAATTCGTTCCTATAAAACCAGACCTATTAACTACTTCATTAAGAGAGAGATATTCTGGAACTCGGCTATTATAAATATTATTTTAAAATGTCCTTATCTTTGACATATTCCAAGACTTTGGTCTTTCTCAAAGATAATGCTCGACAATATTGATCTCAGTTCCTACTCCTCTGATTTTTCGCCCGGTGTGAATTCTTGTTCAGATAATTGAAAACAGAGTTAAAGGACAGATGATTATCTACATTGAATAAGATAAGGTGAACAACTATCAATACACTTTAATCTATTTGAATTATGGATTTGATTGCTTTGATTTTCTTCCTTGTCAAATGTTGGTGAAAATCCATTGTCATCGTTAAGTTTTATTCAGAAGGGGATGTTATGAATATTTAAAATGTGAAATTTGCTTTAAATTAGATGTTCACTATATTTCCTGATTTTGACTCATTGTCAGACTCTTAATCACACTTGTAGATTCTCTAATAAAAGCATATAGGATGTTCCAAATCGCAATCTGTGGTTAGAAAATATTTTAAAGTTTGGCTCAGATAATTCATTAAACTAGAATTTCGATTTCATTGTACACCTTATTACAATGATGCTTATATGCTCAGAAAAAAACAAATATATCAACTTTAATTTATTCTGTAGGTTATATCTAAAGATATTTTGGTAGCCGAAAATATTCCTAAATGTACAGTGTTGTAATTTCTATACAAAAACAGAAATATTGGATGATATTGCAGTAATGAGGCTGAAATATCTCTTTTTAATTCACTGTACAATAGCCATGGCCGGTCAATCAAAGGATACTTCCTAAAATTGCGGCAAAGTGGAAAATAACCATAATAATGCAAAAGAATCAAATTAAAATTCTTTATTATGTTATTTTCGTTGTGTTAAGCGATAACATTAAGAGATTAGTTGCAAGGTTTTGAAAAGGGGAGTAAACATAGGTAGGATGGAACGACGCATGGAATCTAGCCCAAGAGATATACAACCCTCAGAACAGCTATGTATTCTCTGATTGAGAAGTCACAAAGACAAACCTAAATAAGAATTTGCATCAAACTCAGTTTTATTGAGATCTACAGAAATAGCCGTGTTTTTAAACCCAACTATTATAATACAATACAATGCGGCTTATGATTGTAAAACGACATTTGAAAATTATCCCACATGTTTTTCTTTTAAACGAAAAATTGAAATTTATTTTTAAGGAGAAATTACGATTATTTCTAACCTTAGGGATGAAGTATGAAAGGATGAATTGTGAAGAGTAATGATAAACGGAAAAATAAAAGTGTCCAGGGATGGGAATCGAACTCACAGTGTTCTGCTTACCGGGCAGATGCCATGTCGACTGGTCCACCTGGTACAACTGTTTGACAGCGCGTGATTCATTCCTATCTCGCGGCTCAAGCTGCTCCCACTTTAAAACATCACATCTTTTATGAAATGTTTGATATCAAACCATAATTTTGAGAGCTTCAAATCTATTTCCTATTATTATTATTAGAAGGGTTACAAAACTTCAAAGGAATTTAATGACAATCAAAAATCGATCAATGAGCGAAGATAAATTGTGTGATTAATGATTTACAGCTCTGCCGCTAGTAAATACCTCATAACATTGAGTCCAAGTTGCAAGAACCTCAGATGAATATTATAAAATTTATCAAAAAATAGTTCAATCAATTAATAGTTTATATATATTGAAATAGAAGTACTGAAAACTATTAAAATTACCACATACTTATATACTGAGTATATGTTACAGGGGCACCAAGCTTGAAAGACCATGCTGTAGGGTTGTACAATCTTGGAAACACCTGCTACAGCAACGCAATAGTTCAATCGTTGGCCCATACCACAGCTGTTCTGGAGAATTGCCTCTGGAATTTCAAACCTGAAAACATCAATCCAGACAGTATCAGTGGCGGCCAAATCATTAAGAGATTTGGAAATCTTCTGGGCGCTCTTTGGAAAGAAGAAAGCTCTTTCAGGCCCATTGAGTTCCACAAACAAGTTGGAATGTTCGAGAGCAAGTTCGGAGACTACTCAGAACAAGACTCAATGGAATTCTTGCAATTTCTCCTTGAGCATCTCCACAATGATCTCCACCAGCCTCCTGAACCTGAACCCTGCGGCGACACCATTGATGAAGGCAGTAGATTCTGGCGAGATTATCGAGCAACTGAAAATAGCCCAGTAGTCGTTATGTTTGCAGGACAGACGGTCAATGCTACCCACTGTCAAAGCTGTCCAAGAATCTCCCAGAATTTTGAGGCTTTCTGGCATCTTTCCCTACCAATCCCCGAAAAGAAGGGCATTTCTTTGCTGGAATGTTTTGACAAATTCTTCGAAAA